ACACACACACACACACACACATACTAACAGCCCTCTTAACATGCTTCCTCTGCACTTAAATCATGCTATTCCCCAAGGAGAGTGGTGTGTCTTATCTGTGTGCGTGTGTGCGTGCGCGCGTGTCTCTTGGGGGGTCCTGTCTCTTACCACTAAAATGTGTGTATATCTGTTTTGCTCATCTCACTCTCATTCCCATACCTAAGATTACAAACACACACACACACACACACACACATTGCCACAGTGAATCGAATGCTCCATTAAAATCAGATTGTAGCATCAAAGCTGTTTCCTTTGCACTGCTAATCAGTCGTGTGAGTTGACTGCATTATGATCAGTACTTTAAAACATGGTTCATTAAAAATTCTTCAACAATCGTGTGCTTGGTCATAGAACACACCAGTCTCAAGACCACATCAATACATTTCATGGCAAATTCAAGAAATTAGTGTTTTCCTTTTTTCCAATTTTGGCCTTGTTTAGGCACTTTGGTTCTGGTCTGAAGTTTTACAGATAGTTAAGCCAATAAAACATCTGATCATACTGACCTATAGCTGCAACCTTAGGTCTCATCTAGGTTAATTTTTAAGCCTCTATTTACTAGTTTGTGCAATGAGCTAACCTGAGCATTGCTGCACTTACAGACTTTGATAGGTCTAAAGAGGCAACATCCAATCAAAAGGAATAATAACAAATAAAAAAACATCATCTGCCTCATTTCTCTGAATGATCATGCCCAACTTTTCCATTTGTCCTTCTTTTGTTTGTTTGTTGATGTTATATTTTATTTTCAACAAAATGGAATAAAAAGATCAACACATTTTTCTTCCTCCCTCAGATTCTCTCTCCCCTCCTGGATCTCAATCAGAATCGCAGCAAACTGAAGCTGTACATCAGTCACCTGACCTCACTGTGTCAGGAGCGGGACCCAATCATATTGCAGGACTTTGCCCCGCCCCCCTCCTATCACCGCTCAGACTCCGCCACCTGGCACACGCAGCTGCAGAGCATGACACAGGAACAGGTAGGTCATGTGATTTTATTAGTTTGTGTTGTGTGTTTGTGAAAGTTTTAAAGTTTAAAATCCTGTGATGACGTTGGTTAGTCCTCGACTACCACAAAACATTTCTGGTTCGGTCTTATTAAGTCACTCTACACAATGAAGTCAGTGCAGCATCAGTATAGTTCATGCACTGTGCCTCCTCCATGTTAGGGACGGGACATGGGCAAAAATATAAATGTCAAAGTACAAGATTTAGTTCTTATCACACAGATTTTTCATTTATTTGATGCTGTAAATCGGGTTAAACGAGGCTTGCATATTTAGTGACATCTTCTCAAGACACATTTTTGTAGGAGAGCTTTTTAATAATTCTGGTTCACCGTTGTTCTTTTAATATGTCCTATCTGTTTTATTTTACTATAAATCATAAATTACTTTAGGGGCCTTATTTAATTTAGATTTTGTATTATTGACTGGTTTTATTTGCCTCTGTCCTGTCATTTTATCTTGTTTTGCCTTTGTAAAGCACTTTGTAACTTTGGTTGGAAAAGTGCTGTATGAATAAAGTTCATTATTATTATTTATTTACAGTTTCTAGCGTGCATGCGTGTGTTCGTGCGTGTGGAGTGAATGTGCTCTACGTTTGAAAAATTTGGAAAAAACCTGAGGACATTTTGTCACTCCTCATTTATCAATTTCTAAAACCTGCCTGTGAGTATTTCCTTGTGCTTACTTGTTCATGGCGTGTGTGTGTGTGTTCTCTGTAATTGTGTGGACATATTTGTAGGAGTGGGGCACACAATGGTCAGCCTGGCAGATTTTTGGCACTGCTTTTGACATTATTGAAAAGATTTACTCCAGCAGGTCACCTGACGACAAGCGCCTGGCAGCCGAACAAATACTGTTTCAGACATTTTCTTTTGCAGGGAGTAAACTCTGCTCCGAGCTTTTGGCAGCAGGAGTCTGGTTTGTTCACGTACAGAGCGAGGAGGCGAGAGAAGAGTGTATTTGTCTTACTGTTGATAGAGTTGTCATCTGAAGAGGAGAGAAAAGAGAAGTGAAATGTGGATAGGGAAAGAAAAGGTGAGCATTGGACAAAGTTGAAAACACGTTGGCTTTGCTGTTGCTCTATTGTCATGGTAACAAGTTGTGTTTTCAGATACTGAATATAAACAGTGTATATTAAATTTAAATTTCTCTTTTTCGACTGTCCTTGACTTCCCATGTCTCTCTCTTTGTCCTTTCCTCCATATTGAAAACATATCAGGCGATGGTTGCTACATGTGGTATACATTGAAAAATGGTAACTCTAGACACACACACACGTACTCGGAGCAATGTGACAGAGTGTGTGGTTAGGGTACAGCAGGGCTAGTTTCCTGCTGAAAGCCCTATTGTATGTCTTAATGCTGCAGAATGTCTCTGTTTAGCATGAGCGCTTCAGATATGGTGCTGCATGGTTCGGTGTCACTTTAAATAAACTCTGAATACAGAGAATTAAGTTGTCATTTATCATTGTGTATATTAAAGGCACAGAGAAATGGTCCTGGTGACTTTCATGGGCAGACGATTACTACACGTATTTTTCATCATCAGCCGCTTTTCCCTGAAATAAAATGCCGACTGTATTCTGTGGTTCAGTGGTTTTCCCGAAGAAAAACACACTCTGAATTAGAACTGATTATGTGAGCAGCTGTGAAAGCTTATCTAACAAGATTGAATGCTTGTCGACGGCCAGCTGAGTGGCCTGCAGTATTTTATTCCTGCCTTATATTTATGAAAACATTTTAGAAACACTGAAGACATTTGCACCAAACTGTGCTCGTGGCCACATCCAAGTCAAATTTACAACTGAGGAAAACATGATCTTAAAAAGACTGTGTTCGCTATTTTACCACAAATCACCTACATTTTGCGTAACTGTTAACCGCGTTCATGGCACACTGCAGTGTTTTTGAATTTCTCAGTTGTTTTTCTTATTTTCTGCACATTTGTTTCACTGCAGTGTTAAAACCAACTCTTTCATTACTGAAAACATTGCGTCTGCCATTACTGTTGAGGTTGTCCTTGCAGGGACTGATCGTGATATATCCACTTACCCAGGTTTGGCAGTGTCTTCCAATATTCTCCATGTTACTTCTCCAAATTGACTCTTATGCAATTTCTCATCTGCCACCTCAATAGTTAAGATCTGCCTTGGTTTAAGCCCCAATTTTATCCAGACATGCCTCCCATTTTAAAAGAAAATGGAAACAGTAACAACTAAAGAGGTGCTTTGAGATACTCCCATCGCTTCTCATAATAACATTAGAGATTTCTAACTTGGTGTTTTGCTCTGTTGCTGCATGGTATACTGCGTGCGAGTTGTTACCACCCATGCAGACCATCAGAGGTTAAAACCAAAATGGATTTGTATAGCAACTCAAAGTTAAACTGGCACGAGTAGAGATTTTAGGTATTGTCTCAGAGAGGGCATGAATGTTTTACTTGTTTTTAGCGTTTGTGAGATTATCCGATAATATAGTCAAAGATGAAAAGACCTACCTAGGTTTACGAATGGTTCATTATAATACATGCAGAGTAATTACAACGCTTTGTTTACTCTGAGGATTTCAGCTTTTGGGTGAAAACTCTTCATTCCTTACATTCTTTTATTCTCTTCATCACTTCTGCCATCTCTCTCCAAAGCATTGTGCTTCTTCAGGCCTTTGTTTTTTCTTTCCCCTCAAGACGACGGGTCTTTCACTTCTCTTCCTTCCATTGCTCTTCACTCTCACTTGCTCTATGTCGGTGTAGGTGTGAGAGCTGGTGAGACTTTGCTTTTTACTCAGTTTTTTTTGGGGGGGGGGGGGTTTTTTCTTTAACAACATCCCAGTTCTACCTCTCCTTCACTCCCTCCCTGCAAATCCACCCATACTCGAGGCAGTGCCACTTGGCGCCATGCGTCTGCTGC